TCATCACTGCTCGACCTCTGCCTTACATGTGCTCAACGCCCTGACGCGCCTTGTGCATGGGGGGAATGGGGGGTCTGGGGGGTCTTCGATGATTTTCGACAATTTTGTTTCGGATCCTGAAGAGCAAGAGCACTCAGTTCACGATCATTGGGAGGTAGACGAAGAAGCTAAAACGCTAACAAGAATACACTCGTCTCCTAGGAGAAAGGCGTTTTGCCCGGGTGACGCGCCATCTTGTCCAGTCGACATGTCACGGATCAAAGACGACAGGATGACTTACCGCCAAGGAAGTCAGTTCGAGTCATCAGATTTTGAGGATTGTGTCAAGGACTATTGGCGACACTCAGGTAGAGGTACGCATACCAAAACGCACCTCCGATGGATAGGCAAGACTGTGTTCACCCTTAGGGGAAACGACGCTGAATCGGAAAACGAGGAAGCTCAATCGGCTGCAATAGCGTTATGTAGCACCCCAAAGCGTATGAAAACGATCCCACTGAAGGATATCATTGTCCCAACGTTCGTCTCTGTTAGCAAAGCCAAGAGCGAGGAGAGCAAAGAACACAGAATAGCTGATGTCAACTTGAGACGACATGATGGGGAGATTGCATATCGGTACCAGTTCGTGTTGTGCGAAGAAGATGACAACCTAACCGCCCGCGACGAGCAGATGGTAATTGATCTGTACGACATAGGTAAAGAACCCGCATTCATCCTACTGTGTTCAGTGGAATGTAATCACTTCACCCATCTAGCGGCGAAGCACGATTGCACCATCGTCACTGTATCTCAGAGCGATGACCTCACTTCACCATACGGAATTGCACGTGCGCTCGCTGCTGTACGCTCGGAGAAGGATGCAGTAATGTTTGCAGGACCCTGTACAGGCGGATCAGCATGGTCGAGATACAACGCTAAAGTCAGCGATGCGATAGCTAAATCTATAGAGCTTAAGCGAGCGCTATACTGGGACCTCTGGGAACGTTTTGAAACTGTTATGACTCGTGTTTTGAGGATCGGCGCCGCCGCACTGTTTGAACTACCAAGATACTGTGCCTACTGGAAAGATCAAAAGGTTCAACGTTTGTTGAGCGGCACTGATTGCGACTGTCATGTGTTTGATGGATGTATGTATGGGTTAGGTGCTGAGTTCAACGATTCGCATTCCGACAAGAAACTCATCAAGAAACCTTGGAAAATTGTATCATGGAATCTTGAGTTTGGCAACCAGCTCAGCAGAACATGTGACAAGAGCCATAGCCATAGAGATTGTGCAGGTAAATACACTAAGACTACTCAATTATATAATAAGAAGATAGTCGGCATTATCCTGAAGACCGTGACCAAGAGAGTCGCTGAATTCCAGAAGTCTGAGAAGATGATGCATGCCGTTCCGTGCCTTATGATTCGAGCCTTGGGTAGTTCCTTCAACGAACGATCAGTGTGTGATGCAACATCAAACGAGAATGTATACACATGTGATGAGCATGGGACACAAATATCACACGCACGACGGATCGAACCACATGGCATTCATGATCGTCAGGCATGTTGTGTTTGTTTGTGTGACCACAGCACTGCTTCACCCGTACGCTTCAGCGACGTGGCTATGGCTTCTGTTGGTGGTGTCATGAACTATAACAGCAACACGAGCGGCTACCCGACTTTCATCATCAAGATCCTCGATGGCCTGGTTGAGATGAAGGAGAGAGGGCAGATCACCCTACCTCCAAGGATGTCAAGGAGTACGCATGGGTTGGATGTGGTTGAAGCATGGATTGCCGTCGGCATTCCTCCGCTCGTCCCGTTATCCATCAACTATGCAATGTCCAGGACAAAATCCGATGACACCAAGTTCTTGACCGCTTCACTGAAGAAGTTAGTGGGCTACATGAACGAGGAAGAGAAGAAAGAGAAAACTGGCGACTTGGCAAGACGCTATAAGCTATCCATAGCCACCATTAAGGGGCGCTTCGGGAACGATGCGAGTGGGGTTTTCAGCAACCTTTCCCGCTACCTCGTGGAGCCTGAGGAGATTGGGGCGATCGATGACTTATGGGACGACGTCCGCGACTTCATCAACAGCGGCAGGCTCAATGACACTATGGTTGCCTACCAGCAATGGAGGAACCTGTCCGGGTCGGCCAATGAGAGCATGAACATGCGTGAAGCCGCGGATCCGTCGGATCACGTCTATGCTACCCGCCTCGAGGGTTATTACACGATCTTCAGCTCGATCTTCTATCACACCTCTGACAAACTCACCAGTCGAAACGCGAAGGAGAAGGTGCAAGAGCTGATAGAGACGGTGAACAGAGAAGTCCGCAACATGGCACTGGCAATAAGGGTCCACAACTCGGACAGCGCGTTGGACAAGATCCACGTGATCGATGTGCTCGAGGACCTGATTGCCAGGAAGAGAGGGTTGCCAAAATACAGATCGGCGGCTCAGAACCATATGGAGACCTTTCTAGGCTCCATGAGTGTAATGGTACAATACCTTGACAACTGCAAGCCTCCGGTAGCCCTGATAATACCAGAAGAGCTCAGATTCATGAGGGAAAAAGTCATGCCGATGATCAATGAGTGGATCCCGGTTGAACCCACAATGTTTCGAGTTCAGTACAACGCAGCTGCGGCGGAGAGCGGAAGGCAAAATGAGTACAACCGGCGGAGCAGCGCCTTCAAATCCTACACCGAATACATCGAGGAGATGAAGAAGAAAATCGAGGACAAAGTTATCCCCTCGTTACCATTTTGGGACATGGTGGAAAGTGAAGGTCCTGAGCCCCCTGACGTTGCTCATAGGCCAAAGTGGTGCCCGCCGCTTCAGATCTACGGTGACTTTGCTAGGCCGAAGGCCAAACCAATGCCTCGCGCGCCAAGACCTCCTCCACCGTCGTCGTCATTTGAACAGCAGAACTTCTCGGAGCGTCCTCCCGACAGTTCAACTGGACATGGGCCGGCGTCCTCCAAGCGGTGGGGAAGGACAGGTGGATCAGAATCCACCGGTGCGGCATCAAGGGACATCTCAGTCACTACATGGTTTAGAATGCCGTTACCGATGGGGTCATCCAAATACTACGTATTTGGGAAGGACTATTTTTCGCGAGACATGAAGGTCTACGCAATGGTCAGCACCAATCAGGTGCCATCCGGGCACATCGTAGAAGGTCCCTGTACCATTAACGGACAGATGACATGGTTGCAGTACCTACGAAGGTTGACGTCGTATTTGATGTTCTGGCATGGGGAGTATACCAAGAGACGGTGATCAATCGGAACTACTACAAAGAAGACGCCCATTGGTTCGCTCAATATACCAACATCTACGACTCAACACAAGTGTCACTTGCTGGAGGGCTACCATCTCCGAGAACGCTATACAACCTTTGTTACCCAATGGAAGCCAAGGTGACTGATGAAGCGGAATTGGAGCTGAGGATGCGTGAGACATTGAAGGGCTTCATCCCAAGTGTCACGTGTCAGCCAGCAACTCGCACCATCGACGGTGAGAGTGTGCACTGTGAGTTCATCGGCGCCATGAAGACCAGTAAGGTGATTTTGATGTCTGACTTCGAGTACATCACCAAATCGAATTCCGGAAAACAGACAGTGTTCGCCCAGAGCTTATTGTCACTTGGATGGGATAAGGTCATCAACATGTCTTGTACGCCTGAGTACAAGAAAGGAGCGATGACGGATCCATATGGTTTCATCAACTTCGTTCGTGATCGAATCGATGATGTCAAACGCCATGAACCCACCTCCATCCATGTGTGGTTGTCGTTGAGCAATCTAGTGACTGCGGGCGAGAAGGGGACATACAAGACTGTGATTGTTCCCACGGACTTCGTTCCAAGACTCAGGGATGTGATCGTCGAGCTTGACGCATGCTGCCAACTACCTACCTTCGTGAGGATTTGCGCAGACGTGGAATTTCACCATGCCGTCGGTTCGTTCGGTAAGATCGCCAACATGATCAAGGACGAGCTATCGCTGAATGGCATGATGTCCACAACGTCGGACAGATTCTGGCGGGCCGTTTCGGTCGCCGGAAGCGGTCACCCCTACTCTATGAAGTCTGGAACCTCTTTGGTCCACGCTGTCATGGAAAAGTACTTGTTCAGAGAAAAGATGCTCGCTTCTTGCTTTATGGC